AGAGAGAGAGAGAGAGAGAGAGAGAGAGAGAGAGAGAGAGAGAGAGAGAGAGATGGAGGGTGATGGGAGCATGTATTCGGGAGGGAGTTTACCCAATTCGCCCGTTGCCATAGACCCGGCGTACGAGTTCTCAGCGCCGCGCTACTTCGACTTCTCGAATTTTGACGAGGAGGATGATCCGAACGCCGACACGTGGTTCAGTAGGGAGGCAGCATCGTGCAAGGACTCGCCATGGCTTCTGCAGGAGAAGAGGAGGAAGGAGTTGAAGGAAAAGGTAGAAAGTGTCGTTGCCAAAGCTTCGTATGCGCCGGCGCCCGCGCCCGCGCCTACTCCGCAACGCGAAGGACCGGTGACGAGAGCCTTGGCGCGAAAGCATGCCGCCGCTGCTGCCGCTGCCTCCTCCATCTCCGCAGGAGAAGCTGGTAGAGGAACGGTCGCCTCCACGGTAAAGGAGAAGAATGGCGCGGCCTCTAGCGTCAAGAAGCGCGTAGGAATGCAGGGCGGCGCATCAGGTGGACAAGGATGTGTAGGCGGGACAGGTGATGGCACAAGAACGACGAAAAAACGCCCCGCAGTGAAATCGTTTGCCTTCAGCGGTACTACTTCAACTCGGGCTATGGTGTTCAAGGCGATGGCATCGTCACCGAAGGCAAGATCGTCCAGAGGCATCAAGAAGAGCAAGAACCGCACGGCGACCCGAGCAGCGCGATCCGCTGCCATAGCCGAGCAGAAGAGAGAAGGCAAAGTTGCCGCTGAAGACGGAACAGAAGAGGGAGTGGTTACTCAGAAACAGTATTCGAACTTTGGTTGGACAGCTGAGGGAACACACAACTACGCCGCTTCCACGATGACGATTCCAAAGAGCCCTAAGTTTGCGACGAACAGGCGAGCGAAGCAGAGGCATGTGAAGACCAAGAGCTCGGAGGAGGAGACGCTGGAGAAGGCGAAAAGTCATCAGCTGCAAGCGCAGAAGAGACGTAAGTTGGATGCAGGAAGGCTGCGAGAGAAACTACTGCCTCGTCCTGTGCTCCCAGTGAGGTCAACGGTAGCATTGACAATACCGTATGAGATACATCTGCACACCGAAGAACGACTGCGGAGCAAGTGTCAGGGTATAGAGGGGGGTGCTGCCAGCTCGTCGAAGGGGGATGGTGAGGAGTATGTTCCGCTGGCAGAAGCTGTCCTGAGATTTCAGAGGAAGACTCCGGATCGGTTTCATACTCGTCCGCATAATGAGGACCACCCGACGATTCTCAGCGAGGCAAGAGAGCCGCCTAGTATAACGCAACCCAGGGAACCAGTACTGGAAACGGCTCACCGATCAAGACCAGTGAAGGTGAAGAGTTCGGCAGAGATTGAGGAAGAACTTATGGCCAATATACAGAAGTTCAAGGCTCGACCCTTCGCTCGAAGTATCGTCGAGAGAGGAGGTGACCTAGGTGTGCCAGTTGTGCCCCGACCTCCTCCCACTGAGCCGCAGGAGTTCAGTTTTGCAACCGCTCAACGTGCCGCCCTGCACTGCGAAGCTGCATCTCTGATGGAAGAACGCAGCAGTAAAGCCAACGCACGCCCTGTGACTCGAGAACAGTCCAAGTCCAAGAGCCTTGGACTCACAGTTCCCATGGAACCTCATCTGGAGACGATGGCGAGGGCACGGCCTTCAAACCTGAAGACAACGGAGGAGATGGAACTCGAAGAAGTTAGCAATGCGCCCAAGTTCAAAGCACGGCCGGTAGGTAAGCATGTACTCCACGGATGTGGGGATGTGGGATTGCCCGTGGTGCCTAAGAAGCCGACAACGATTCCGGAGGAGTTTGATCTTGCGACGGAGCGGCGTGCGCGATTACATCCCAGTTGCTCGGCGGTGAGCTGCGCTTCCGGAAGATCTACGATTCGATCGGATGACAGCTATGAACTGGCGGGGGGGGGCGCCGCGCGAGCAAAACTGGGACCTGCAGAGCCATTCCATCTGGAAACGGAGGAGCGAGGGGCGAAGAAGAAGGCCGAGTTGCAGAAAAGGCTGCAAGAAGAACAGAAGAGAGAAGAAGAGATGCGTGTGCCGAAGGCGCAGCCGCTTCGTGACTTCGTGGATGTAGGGAATGCCGTCATTCCAAAGAAACCTCCGGTGAAGGAGCCGACTTTGCCTGAGCCGTTCAATCTTCAAAGTGCTATTCTACACGAGACAGCCGTGCAGAAATGGGAACGCATGCTTGCCGAGCAGCAGAGAGAAGAAATGGAGAGGGCTAATTTCAAAGCGCAGCCCGTTTTGAAAGAATGTCCTGTGATGCCGGTTCAGCGCCCCAGGAAGCCGCTCACTACAATTCAAGAACCTAATCTGTCTGTGGAGAGGCGCGCGATCGAGCGGCAGAAGTTCAACTCCATGGTCGAAGCCAAACAACGAGACGCTAAAAGATCAAGGGACGAGTACGAAGCCCAGGTGAAGGAGGAGGAGCTCAGGGTAATTCAGGAGTTGAGACGGACAGAGATGATACCCAAGGCTAGGCCAATTCCTGCGTATCCACCTCCAGCTCAACCAGCAAAGTCGACGAAGGAGCTAACACGTCCGGTTTCTCCTCAGTTCACACGAAAAGCACCAGGCACGAGATGCATGAGATGAAGAGCTTTGGGAGTAGTGCTAGTGGTGGTGGCTGATCAGCACCTGGAGATGTGAGGAATTGCAGTAGAGCTGCAGATCCGCCCATCCGTTATAATAGAGCTTGCTGACCTGGACGAAACGATCTGGCTATGATGGTCGATTTTGGGGTTCGCTTTTTGTGCCCTCTTTCGGCCCGCGGCTGTTTCACAAGGCTTACTATTAGGCTCTGCTCTTGTGTGTGTGTGTGTGTGTGTGTGCGCGTGTGT